CTGTGGGGGGTGCTCCAGGAGTATGGAGTCGGGGGCCCTTTACTAGGGGCCATCCATTCTCTGTACAAGCGGAGCAGGAGTCTGGTTCGCATTGCCGGCATTAAGTCGGACCTGTTACCAGTGCATGTTGGACTCCGACAGGGCTGCCCTCTGTCACAGGTCCTGTTCATAACTTTCATGGACAGGATTTCTAGGCGCAGCCAAGGACCGGCGGGTGTCTGGTTTGGAGAACAGCAGATCTCGTCCCTGCTTTTTGCGGATGACGTAGCCGAGTGTGAAGCGGCCGGGATGAGAATCAGCTCCTCCAAATCCAAGGCCATGGTTCTCGACCGGTAAAAGGTGGCTTATCCCCTTCAGGTTGGAGGAGGTTCCCTGCCTCAAGTGGAGGAGTTCAAGTATCTTAGTTTCCTGTTCACGAGTGAGGGAAGAACGGAGCGGGAGATCGATAGACGGATCAGTGCGGCTGCTGCAATAATGCGGACGCTGCACCGGTCTGTCGTGGTGAAGATAGAGCTGAGCGAAAAGGCAAAGCTCTCAATTTACCAGTTTGTCTACGTTCCTACCCTCACCTATGGTCATGAAATCTGGATCATGACCGAAAGAATGAGATCCAAGATACAAGAGGCTGAAATGAGCTTTCTCCGCAGGGTGGCTGGGCTCTCCCTTAGAGATAGGGTGAGGAGCTTGGTCATTCAGGAGAGGCTCAGTGTAGAGCCGGTTCACCTCCACATCGAGAGGAGTCAGTTGAGATGTCTTCTTTGGATGCCCCCTGGAAGCCTCCCTCGGGAGGTGTTCCAGGCACGTCCCACCGGGAGGAGGCCCAGGGGACGACCCAGGATACGCTGGAGAGACTACGTCTCTTGACTGGCCTGGGAGTGCCTAGGGCTTCCCCCAACAGAGCTGGAGGAGGTGTCAGCGGAGAGGGAAGTCTGGGAGTCTCTGCTTAGTCTGCTGCCCCCGCGACCCGGTTCCGGATTAAGGGGGAGACGATTAGTACGAATCGAAAGTTGGAGGCAGACGGGAGACGTGTTCTTTAACCAGCCTTTCAAAGCACTTCATCATACTTTGATTCGGAACTATGGATTGGTCCAGCGAGGTGTTAAAAATGTCTGTGAGGACACCAGCAAGCTGATCTGCACACTGCTTGTACACCCGCCCAGGTATGTTATCAGGCCCTGGGGCCTCCCTTGGGTTGACTCTCCTCAGAGTTTTTCTCACTTCAGCTACGTCCAGGTTTAGTGCTTTCACCCCCTGGTGTGGAACAGCTTTCACTGCTGGAGTGCTGTTTAGTGCCTCAAACCTTACAAAGAAGTTGTTCAGTTCTTTTAGGAAGTGAGTGTTTGCTGCATCTACCGGGTGGGAGTGTGTGTTGTAATCTGTGATCATCGAATGCCTTTCCACATTCTCCTGGTATTTCTGTCATCGTAGAAAAGATCCTGGATCTTCTGGCTGTGGCTCTGCTTCGCTGATCTGATGGCAGGGTTTATATTCGCACTGGTTTGAAGGGCCTACTTATCACCAGACTTGAAAGCTGTGTTCCGTGCTTTTAGCAATTTCCAAACCTCTCCATTTAACCAGGGTGGTTGGTTGGCCTGGGTGGTGATGTTCTTTTTTATACTGACGTCCTCAAAGCATTTGCTGATGTAGGTTGACACAGTCATGGCATACTCATCAATATTTAACAAGTTGTCATATGTTACTGCAGCTTTGAAGATGTTCCAGTCAGAGCATTCAAAACAGTCATGGGGTGTTTCCATGGCACCCTCAGACCAGACTCTGAACGCTTTAACTGTTGGTTTAGCCCTGATCAGCTTGGGCTTATATGCAGGGGTAAGCATGACAGATAGGTGATCTGATGAACCGAGGTGGGGGCTGCTCTGAATGCATCTTTGATCTTAGAGTAAACCAGTTCTAAAGTGTTTTCACCCTGAGTTGCAAAGTCCACATGTTAGTAAAAATTAGCGAGAACAGTCTTCAAGTTAGCCTGGTTAAAATCCCGAGCTGTCATGATTCGTTTAAGGAATCTGATCCACATGCAGAGAAACCACTCAGAGAACATGGAGAAAAGTTTACCAGGTTGATTTGTAGCAAGTGAACAGAGGTTGGATCTGGAACTCAGAGAACTGGTGAACTGGAACTGGATAGTCTGAAGGGGAGATCGCAGAGATCAGTTCAGAGACCGTGGGAAATGAGACTGCGGCTTGAATTATGCTGGAATGGGACTCACGTTTGAGGGTGCTCTAGTCAATCCTTGAATCCAGTCTGTGTGGGTTTATCCAGAAAAGAGGGAACTCGTTGGAGAGCGGACAGGTAGACATACATTGGACCCGGAGGAGTAATGGAACGGGCTATCACTTGGATTTCCGATGGGGACTTGAACAGATCATGTGGAGGTTTTCCCCTGCTCAGTGTGTACTCAGAAAATCCTTCCAGCGGGAGAAGGTCCAGGTTTCCAGTTACACAGTAAGACTTTCTGCCGAAGAGCAAAGACAAAAACAACATAAGACTCAGAGAAAAAAAGCTCAGGTTAGACTCAACTAATCTCAGCTTGGCTAGAGTACCCAAAACTGGCAAACACTCTGGCGTCGAGGTAGTGACAGCCCACTGCTCAAGTACTCCTCCAGTAATGAACAAATGAGCCGCAGGTGTGCAGGGAGGACCATCAAGGACAGGGCACCACCTGGTGGTGGACAGAGAAGGGACACACAAACAAACCACACAAACTGGATTCCTAACACCAGCAATGATGAAAACACCCTCTGTGTATGCAGATTGGAGCTCAGAGAAAGCCTGGTATAGAGTCTTCATGGCTTCTTTTGTGTTATTGCTGGGGCGCACGTAAACAACAGTGATGCTATCCACACTGAACTCTCTTGGCAAATAGAACGGCCTGCAGTTAACAGTCAGAAACTCGATGTCTGGAGAGCAGAAGCTGGCGTCTGGTCTAGCGTTCTTGAACCAGCTGTTGTTGATGTACACAGAGCCCGCCAACCCACGTCTTCCCGCTTAGTTCTTTGTTCCTATCGGTGCGGTATATCGTTAGCCCCTCAAGGCTGATAGCATTGTCCGGTATTGCTGGATGCAGCTAAGACTCCCTCAGAATGATGGTGCAGCAGTTACTAATCTCCTTACTTGATGAGAGTTCCTGTCAGAGATGATCCATTTTGTTATCCAATGAGCGTACGTTGGAGAGCAGGATTGATGGTAGTGGAGGTCTGTGGGGATTTCTCCTTAGCTCTGCAGTTAGTCCCCCTCTGCATCCTCGCTTTCTCCGTCTCGGACAACTCTTCCTTCGGCATTTACACACCGCTGTTGTTTTGTTTACATCCGTCCGTAGCATTACACAGCTTTTTAAACGGTCAAAAATGTCTGGGTTTAAAACATTTTGTGACCGTGGCTCCAGCAGGCGTTGGAGATCATAGTCTAGTCTGTATCATATTAAGTGGCATATTATATGAACTTATTGAAATTTTTCATTTCATTTTTTTCATTTCAAAAAGTTTATTTCAGACCTGGACACATTTTACAATACATATAATGACAAACAATACATATGCATGGCGTGAAAAGGGGATGGACGAAGCAAAAGCTTATACATGTCCAATCCCCTCCCACTCTTCCCAGGGACACTCCTGCAAATGACAAGACAAAGACAAGACAAACAACACATCCACACTCATGCATACAAGACAACGCACTGGCCCAACTTTCCCCGTCCCTGCAACCCCCTCCCTACACCACACCACCCTCAAAGAACATCACTCAACTCCTGAAAGAGTTTTAAGACATTTTCTGGAAGAGAGCCAGTTAATACTCTGAACATTATTTGCACAGTTCTTAAGTTTATAAGATCAAATAATTTTAAATTGGAGGATTGTAGAAACAATAAATTTGTTGATGTAAATAATTTACTATATGAACGATTCGAATGGCTCTTTTTTGCGGTGTAACCAGGGGCTGAAGATTGGTCTTAAAATTGTTTCCCCAAACTTCGATACAATAATTCAAATACGACATGACAAGTGAGTGATACACAAGGAACAATGCACTTTGGTTGAGGAAGTGTTCGTTTCTTCACTCCCACACAGTGAGCAACTTTTGTGCGCAAATAATTAATGTGATCTTTCCAGGACAATGTCTCATCTATAATCACACCCAAAAAAGTATTTTGTTTGTTTAACAATTTATTTTGTTTAAATTGTCGAGAGGAGCCGTTCTTATCCTATTTTCCTATCTAATACATACTGTAACCTCTAATTTAAATATCTGCGCCTTGATAAATTGTTCTCCTTAAATCAATACATCTATATAATTCTATAATCAAGGTTGTTCAACAAGTTAACAACTAAATAACCATTGTTTAGTTTTAAAGTAATTTCTCATCTATAGCTACTATTATCATGAATTTGAAGTTCAAAAATTTCCTTAACTTTTCTTCAGTAGAAAGTAAAACTGTCTGATATTTTACAATAAACTGAATTCATTTAAAATAACATGATCATATTATTGAACCCATAAATGTTTCAGAGGTGCTCTGAACCATCAGTGCTTTAACTTTCAGAGCTGCAGATTTATTCTGATGTTAAATCATTGTTTAATTCTTCTATCTTCATCTTCATAAAAAAATATTCTTATCTAAATTCTGGAAAATAACTGTTTTCTCCTCCAACACAGCTGATTATTTGTTGTCTTCTAGTGATCATCTTTCTGAGACCTCTCTCAGAGGAACAGTTGATGAAATCTCAATAAAATCTACAAAATAAAAGTGAAGTGAACATCATCAGCTTCCAATAATGTCAATTTAGAAGCCATTCTTGTGTTTTATATGATATCCCAGTGAGGTCACAGTGTGACCTTTTCTTGTTGGTAGATCAGTTTATAAGGTAAAAAAAAGTGACCAAAGTGATCAAACTGAAGGGAAAGGCATCTTTTCAAGGTTTTTACAGTTCTAATCCCATCAATCTCTGATGAAATGTTCATGTTCTCTGATTGTTTTATAGAAGATATTAATGGTATTATCCTGGTGAGCCCTGTCCATCCTGTGACTGAGGGAGATCCTGTTTCTCTGAGCTGCAGAGATAAAGAACAAAAACTTCTCTCCAATGTGTTTTTCTATCACAATAACAAACTGATCCACAATGACGGCAGAGAGGAGCTGAACATCTCTGCAGTGTCAAAGTCAGATGAAGGTTTCTACAAGTGTGAACATTCAGGAAAGGAGTCACCACAGAGCTGGATGGCTGTTAGAGGTGAGAGGATGAAAACATTTGATAGATTTTATTAAGTAAAACCATTAAACTTTAATCAATGAACAAGGTGGACTCTAATAATGTTAATGTGAATGTGCTGTGGGTTTCTGTCCATGTTTATAATCACATAACATCTGCGGATTAATAACATGGTGTCGTGGGAAAAAAAATATTCAACTATTCATCCTAGTTAAATAAACGGAGATCGATGGATTTCACTCAGTCGGCACATTTATTCATATATTTGCAAAGAGAGAACAGTTCATCATACACCCCTAATGGCATAGCATTCTGCTCTGTTCTGATCTGGGCAGGGTTCGTCCCCCCCTACATACAACAATGAAAAGCAGTCAGAGTCATAACAAATTACACACATTTTGGTTAACAGTAACATGTTATGAATAAACCTTAAGAAAGAACATGATTTGTTATGGGAAGAAGCTATGTCTGGTCTACAAACACCAGCCTGGAGAGAAATGTGTGGCCTTGAGAGAGAAACAGACTGAGTGAAAACTTTTATAGTGAGTAAATAGGATAGATTAATATATAATAGAAGAAAGATAAAAATTTTCCGACAACACATGGCTTTCTAATATTTATTTTCTCCAGTTCCTCTCACCAGTCCTGTCAGCTCTTCACTTCCTGTGCTGCTGATCTTTGGACCAGTTATTGGACTCATTCTCATTATTCTCCTGATGTTGTTGTGTTGCTGCAGACGGTCTAAAGGTGAGACCTTCTCATGAACACCAAATTAAGTAACTTATAGCTGCTTTAACCATTGCAACACAAACATTGATACTTTTTCTGTGTAAAAGAAAAATCTGACAGGATAATAAATGAATGATAAAATATTTCACAGATCCATGCTGCATCAGGTAAGTTCACCATATTTTGATATTCTTTTTCCCCATCATTTGTTCATTTCATTTACTTTCCCTTAATAACCTGTTTGTATCAATTATTAGATCAAGGGTGTCAGAGAGCAGGAGTCAGAGCTACACAAACCAGACTGAATGTCAGAATTACGGCTTCCTGCTTCAGGGTCAGAGCTTCATTTATACCCGTTTCTTACCATTACTTTTTCAACCTCAGTATAGTTATAGCTTGATGTTTGCATTGGGGACTTCCGGCTGGTAGGGGTTGTGCAAATGTTCAAGGATACAGCAACATCAAAATAACTTTAAAAAACATAAGCTAGATAAAAACGTGCAGTTACAAATAACTAATTTGCTTAAAGAATCTATTTACAACCTTCCTTAAATACTGTTAGGAAGATGTTGGGGTAAAATCCAAACTTGTGACCTCTCAAAGACTGAGTAGGCTACCGATTTAATCCTTTATCTCCCCAGGTTGTCCAGCCAGAACATGGATAACAGGCGCCAATTACAGTCATTCCACTCTTTATTGAAGTTGTTCTGATTAGGATGAGAATTGTTCTTTGAGCATCAAAACCTTATGAACAAATACAGTTCTAAAGAGACTTTGTAATTACTGCCCTTTTAGTACCAGCATGATTCTGATGAAAGGCTCATTATAAAGTGATTTGATGCTAGATTCTGTGAGGCAGTCATTTTTGTCTGTATGCTCTGAACCAAAACCATGAAGGAGTTCAGCCCAGTTCCCAACAGTATCAATTAATATTACTCTATTTCTACCACAGAGAACCATGTTTGGCTGAACTGTTTAGTCTGATTTAAGGAGGATAAAATAAGATGTACATATGTAATTAGGTCCAGTTTTACATTTGATAAGGATTGTTTCAGACTTGTAATTTCATGTGACATATTTTTTTTCCCTCTTGGGGATTTTTGAATCATTATTTTTATGGCTTTGTTATTAATCTGATGGTGCTGTTTAGATCACTATGTTGATGTCAAAGGGCCATATATCAGATTTTCAAAGTTTAAGTAAATTGTTAGAAATGTGTTCATTTTCTGATATTCATGATATTTTTTGGTCTTTTTATTCACTTTAGGTGATGCTAATCTCTATAACATAATCAACTCTACTGAAGCTGCCGGAAATGGTAAAGTTTATCATTTAAAGCATACAATCATGTCATTTACAGTCAAGTAAATAATAAAAATGTTTCCATTATTTCAGCAGGAGATGAACTCAGAGATGTTACATACTCTGTCATTGAAATAAAATCCTCTAAGAAAGAGAGTGAGTCCCACATTTCTACAATGTAAAACATGAGAAACTGACTGAGTGGTTTTATCCCTCATATTTGATGATCTTTACAGGTAGACATCATAGACCACCAGAGGAGGGCGCTGTTTACTCTGAAGGGAAAACAGGAGCTGCAGGTACAGTCAATTTCATGTCATCATTACACTAAAGCTGATTACACCTCAGCATAGAGTTCAGTTCATTATTATTTCTCTTAGTTGATATCTGCAAGACAACTAATAAAACGTCAGTGTCCTTTAAAGCTACAGTGTGTAATAATTACAGGGATATAGAGTCAGAAATGTAATATATTATACATAACTATGTTATTTATCATCATCTATGAGCTCAGCCTCTTAACCTTAATATTTGCGTTGCCTTAGAATTCGTTATTTATAATTACATAGGAGCGGGTCTCGCAGCCATGGAGGCAGACATCTTTGCGCTACGGCAGCGCAGAGCCAACAAACTAGCGATTGTGAGATCGCCCATTACGCTCGAAAGTAACTACGGCAAGTTGTTTAAGTCTACATGAAATCTATACCCTACACAGACTAATGAAATACTATCTGTAAAATTATCTATGTAAACAAACCTCATCACTTGAGAAGGTAGGTGATGCGGACGTCGTGGAAGACATTTTGTCCCGTAACGCTCGCCGTACTGTTGGGGGGGAGAAGCGGTGGGGGGGAGATATTCATGTTGCTGCGGTCTGCAGTCTGGACGTTAGATGTCGCTAAAAATTACACACTGTAGCTTTAAAGAAGGTTCAGCAAATTTTCTTTTTCAGTGCATCCAAAACCACTACATGTGCATATAGAGGGAAGTAATGATATGTATTTTTAGAGGGTCATCAGTCTGCTATTGCCCTGTTTTTTTGTTTTTTCCTTTGCTTTGTGCCACCATTAAAAAAAGGACCGGCCTCATGCTAGCCCCACTGGTAAAATTGGTCTAGAACCACCACTGTTCTGCATTTAATGTTACAGTATTTAAAATTGTCTGCTTTAAGTGTATTTATTTGATATTTTCTTTTAAGAAATATCTTCTCACTGACAGGAAAGTCAAGTCCAGCAGCAGAGGATGCAGCAGTTTATTCTGAGATCAGATCAGTACCAGCTCTGGAGGACAATGCTGACATGTAGGCTGGAGGCTCTGGTGGATTTTTTTTCCCCTCTAATATGTTCCATGTTAAATGTAGTATTTTTTTCAATCTGTCAACTTTTTTTTTTTTTATTTCCCTACGAAAAATAATTCTAAAAGAGACAATGTTTTCCAGAATAAAGTACAATGGTCTGGGATGCAGAAAAGCTTAAAATTTCAATGGATATTATGTCCAATATTATAAAGGCTCTACTTTTACTATTTTTTTTCTTATTAATCACATAAACTCCCCATTATCTACTACTGAACTTATGTTTATTACATTCTAGGACTTAGGTGGATTTGGATTAAAAACTGAATAAACTGGAATTGTTCTGTTTTCTGATGCTACAGTTTAGTTTTAGACTTTAGACAGATTTTATTTGTCATTTTGTTTACACTGGTGTAAAACAAAGAGAAATTTAGTTTGGAAACGGCTCACTGGACAATTTCATTGTTTAAAAATGCAGCCTTGAAAATAGTTAGAATGACAGTAAATTTACAGTTCTAACTTTTTTTCTTTTTTTTTTTAGTAGGACTTATATAAAAAAAAACTGAATTTTTAAGAAATTAATGCTGTGTGACATAATAAATCGATGTGGAAAACACAATATTTTGTGTCTGGCTTTAAAAGAGTTTATAGAAGAACTTTGCTCCCTTCTATTCTTTTTTTAAATCAGTCATGTTCTTATTGTTTTTTATAGTATCCTTTGTGAGCTTTAGCTATCCTCTGGATTATTTAACTGCTAGCTTTAAATACTCAGACACTGGTTGCTAAATTCTATTAATGATTCCTGCTGTATAGAGTTATAGAGTGACAATGAAACCTTTCAATCTTAGATTTCCTTCTTTGCTATAAAACCTTCACCTTCCAATATGTTAATTACACTTGAGGAACACATCTGGATGGAAAAGTTTTGTGATTTTGTTCTCTAAAACATAAGGCATCATAATCAGCTTTAAAGCAATGTAAAAAAAATGAAAAAAGTTGGATATATCCTGTTGCCTAAGAATTTAAATAAATAAATAACAATTATTTTAAATGAATTGATTTTTTTTCTTTTCAAAAATAACCATCTTACAGCCCAATTTCATCCCAAACAGAAGAGAAAAAAACAAGTCATATTTGGATGTATGAGCATTGAGGGTCATTCATGAGTGCTGCAGTTCCACAGCCTACCACTAGAGATTTGTATTGCAATTATAAAGTGAAGTTGCTTTTAATAAAGGATTCTTATTTATATTCCTGATGAGCAATGCTTACCAAATGTGATACCTTACCTTTGAGCTCTGTCCAATAGAGACTTAGTGTAAAGAAAAACATGCTGATTGCACATATAAGCTTAAAGTTGAAGGAAATCATAAAAAATGTGGAATGTCTGGAAAAACTTCCACAAACATCAGAGTTCTACATTGTCACTTCTGTGGAAATCGAAAAAAAAAAAAACAGTCAAGCCCAATCTTAAAATAGCTAATCCAACATATTAGTGACAGACCTGAACCCATCTGCTTTGGAATTAACATTTTAAACTGGAAGAAATTAAAACGTCAACAGATCTATTAGAAAAATAGAGACACATATCAGGAGCTCCTAGATTTACTTCCAGCATAAATAAACAAGTTAGGATGATTTTAAGGGAGCAGCATCTCTTCCATTTAATAACAAAACAAATATACAGAAAAGACAGTGAAGGTCCAATGATTCAGGAATTTTATAGTTACCAGCTTGAACCTTATTAAATTATGGTCAGGTTTTCATAAAAAAGGTGAGCATGGATAGACATTTTTTTGTCAGGCAAGAAAACAATGATACATAAAAACGTAAAAATGTTCTGGGTCAAATTTTGATTTTAGACAAACTACTTTAAGCAGATTAGGGTGATTGTGACTTTAACCTTCTTTACCTGGACTGGTAAAAAACGATGATGCAATAACAACATGATAATGGGTGTTTGTAATAATGATTATAAATTAAAAGTGACAGCTGCTACATTAGATTGATTTATTTAGGAGTGTAGGACTTATTTTATTTTCAATCTTCTGGTCCCAATCTTCAGTAACTGTAGTATTAACAAAAGCAGAAAAAAAGGAGGTATACAAAACATAAGAAGTCGTACAGTGCTTCTCTCAGAACTGGTTAAAAAAGTGCCATTTTAGATTTTCTCCTAATGAAAAACAATTTTAATCAAGTTTATTTTAGAACAATGCTTGCGAAGAAATTAAAAAAAGCTACTGTAATCAAACTTTTTACATTTTTTATATTGAAATACCCTATTTCATATATTAGCTAAGTGAAGCAGTTTGACAACATGCTAACTTTTCTATTAGGCTGAGAGAGCAACATTTTCAACAGAAAACAAGAAGGCTGAACATTCTGCAGCAAAGTTGCTCTTATTTTAAAATGTCAATCTCTCTCTTTTCTTGATTTAGAAATGCTGACACGTCTTTTGACATCTCATAGTAAAGAGAAGCCTCTAGGATCCAGGAGAATCTCTGAGACAAACACAAGCAATCATTGAGGTTTCTAAAATTAGCAAGGACTTTCCTTGGTTTTAAAACCTTAAAAATATTTAAAACTTAAAGTGGATTTTCATATTAAAGTTTTTATATCATAGTTCTTAAAGTTGGATACACAATTCTGATTGTTTCATCTGTACTGAGCAGCATTATAAATTGTATATACTGTCGATTGTATGTTATTTTTATCTCTTTTGTAGACGTTTGCACTGAAAAATAAGAATTTTCTGCAAGTAATTCTGATTGTGATAAAGTTATCTACTGTATAATCAAAGGAAAAAGGTATGGAAAAGCACTATTTAAGCGTGGGAATGATTACAGTGACTTGGTCTTTAGTACACAGACGTGCAAGTATTGCAATAAAAGAAAGCTGAAAAAGGTGGTGGCCATGAGTGTGAGCAGGGAGAGCCACAGGGGGACAAACACACACACGTAGCTCAGACTGTTGTGGCCTTCCAGCTTGTGCACCAGAAGGATCTACGCAAACTAAGATCAGAGTTAAACAATTAAGAGAGGCTTTGTATTCTGCTCTCTTTACTCTGATCCCTAACTGCAATCTATCTATTCATACAACAATAAAGCATGAATTTATGAGATCTATTCAGCAGCTCTTGTTGGATGTTGTTGATCTGTTCAGCATTGCCAGAGAGTTAAATGTTTTTATATTTGTTGGATTTTTATTGATACACAAATTTTCAGATCCAAACCCTCCTTCAAACAACAGGACAAGTGCATTAAATTCTGCATGTGTTTATCAGGATTATTCACCAGTAAATGTGTTTTTTAACAGGTTTAATGGAAAAACAAAGCTACAGCTTGGCTGGTTTGTTATGTAAAAAAAAAAAGTGTAATCGATTGAAACGTCTTTAAAATAACCCATAGGTCAACATTTAAAACAAGTTTAAATCCCTCTGAAAAATAATCACATTTTACATTTAGAAATAATACATTACAGAAGACACAGTAAAGTGGAATATGTTCTTTCAGGTGGATCATCTAATTAATTGTTCCTCCTAATTGTCAATCATGCTGGTGATATATTTACGTAAGGCCGTCCCTACGTGCTTGATCCAAGGTGGGACATACACCACATGCAGGACACAAATTATGAGGTTTTCATCAAAATACCAAATATAACACGGCAAAATCCTCCAGAATTCCTTGTTTTCCAGCCACTTTTGTTAAAAGTTGAAATCCGAAACATACGGCTTTGCGATCAACCGGTAGCAGTTCTGCACAAATATATCACAATCTAATCTGATCTGATCTGATGAGAATGTTTTTATAAACAGATTTATTTTAAATAAAGCATTTTAAATGCCACAATAATCACATTTAATGGATTTGAATGCTACTATAACGCAGTTACCATTGCCGACACCCCGTTACTGCACGTTGCTCAGGTCACATAATTAACCTTTTTTCATGATAGGACTCGTGCGCGCCTTGTCATGAGAGAGGGGAGGATGGAGAGTGAGGAGGACTCCAGCAGCAAAACAGCGTTTTCCAGATGGAAATACCGGTGTTACGTAGAACTGCGTTTTCCCATCAGATACAGTTTCCCCTGCATCTTTCCGCACAGCTCAGACGGCACGATTCACCGCGCAAGCGACAGGAAACGCGCATGCTCGCTAAAGGCGTTTAACAGCCACCCTGTTCTCACGCCACAGGGGAACTACGGAGAGCATGCACGATCAAATGTTGGCCTTGATGGATGGATGGATGGATGGATGGATGGATGGATGGATGGATGGATGGATGGATGGATGGATGGATGGATGGATGGATGGATTCAGCTAAGTGAAGCAGTTTGACAACATGCTAACTTTTCTATTAGGCTGAGAGAGCAATATTTTCAACAGAAAACAAGAAGGCTGAACATTCTGCAGCAAAGTTGCTCTTATTTTAAAATGTCAATCTCTCTCTTTTCTTGATTTAGAAATGCTGACACGTCTTATGACATCTCATAGTAAAGAGAAGCCTCTAGGATCCAGGAGAATCTCTGAGATTAACACAAGCAATCATTGAGGTTTCCAAAATTAGCTAATTTGTAGAAGTACTAGCTTTCTAGCTAGCGTTCTAAAGACAGTTTAAAATATCCACCAAGGACTTGCCTTGGTTTTAAAACCTTAAAAATATTTAAAACTTAAAGTGGATTTTCATATTAAAGTTTTTATATCATAGTTCTTAAAGTTGGATACACGATTGTTTCATCTGTACTGACCAGCATTACAAATTGTATATACTGTCGACTTATCTACTGTATAATCAAAGGAAAAAGGTATGGAAAAGCACTATTTAAGCGTGGGGCTGATTACAGTGACTTGGTCTTTAGTGCACAGACGTGCAAGTATTGCAATAAACAAACCTGAAAAAGGTGGTGGCCATGAGTGTGAGCAGGGAGAGCCACAGGGGGACAAACACACACACATAGCTTAGACTGTTGTGGCCATCCAGCTTGTGCACCAGAAGGATCTACGCAGATAAAAATCAGAGTTAAAAACGTTAAGAGAGGATTTGT